AAAAATAACGTCTGTTGAACAGGCTATGATGTTTTGCTTTCCTCGCGTGTCCCGCTTGGTCAAAAAAAAAAAGAAAAATAGAGAACAATCTTGCCAGCTTAAAGGAGATAGACAACTTTAAAATTATACTGGTCAAATTTCAGCACCTTTGGCTCAAACAATGACTAGCTTTGCTCACTAAATAAAAAAGCCGTTCAACTTAAAGAAAAACGTTTAGAACGGGATGGCGAGAACCGAGCTTAGAGTTAAGCTCATGAAAAGTTCGAAATCTGGCTCGGTTGAGTTCGTCTGAATAAAAGTTTGGATCCTCCAACCCGTCTATGCTATAAATTAAAAAAAAATTGTTTGATAATGTATATTTAGCCTGGTTTGGGAGAAAATTAAAATTGTTTTTTGGTCTGCTTCAGTTGGTTGGTTCGACGCGTCCTAAGTTTGACGTCTGACCCAACAAACGATCTTAACTTAATTTAGGTCGACCCAAATTAGAATTTGGTTCGTCTCATAAAAAGTTCGACGTTTGGTCCAAGTTTGGCTACGTTTACATACACTAGATAAGATTCAGGAGATTTTACCTGATTCATTAATGTTTTCGGTTTTACAGGAAATACGAATCCGAGAAAATCCATATCTACTAAAGATTCGTCACTCACATTACCAGGCATTCCGCTGATGGGATCAGAGGCACCTTGTTGTGGCGGTGGACTATCTGTTATTTTTCTGCTTATTATTCACCTCATAGTTTAATTTTTAACAACCCCCCAAATCCAATACTTTCCAATTTTCCAAAATGTTTAATATTCCGTATATTCCGTGTTTTGTTTTAGAATATTCTGTAAATTCCGTGTTTTAGTATATTCCATATATTCCATATTTTATAATATTCCGTGTATTCCGTCATTCCGTTCCGTCATTCCGTCATTCCGTCTGTCCGCCATTCCACCAAATAAGCTTAATTTTAACACCAACTTGACTGAAAAGCAATAACACAATGCTAACTGATGCATTTCTATTTCAAAACATAATTTTCTCTACTATAAAAAACGCACAAGATATACCTCGGGCTTAGATCCTTAAAAAAACTTTGCTCACTCGCTTGTTCTTCTGAGCTTTCCGCTGCGAAGAAAACAACAATGTATTCCTCCAAGGCAAATTTCTCGCTTGATATTTTCACTTTCCATCTTAAAGACAACTGAGTATTTTCTTCAGCTTCCACTTTTCATTTGCATATTTCATCGGTACAATTTTAACCTTACAAGAGAGGAAATTACCCAATTCGCGCTAGCTTTGCGTTTGCGAAATGGGCAAATGGTAGATAGCTAACTGACCAATCAGAACGCGCGCTTTACTTTTGCTATGTTATAATAAGGAATAATCAGGTATATATATTTTTTGGGGGAAGTGATTTTTGCAGGCATACCAGCACTAAAACTTGGGCTAACTTTGCCATCCTTTGTAACAGACAGGAAGCAGTTTTAATACCTAAATATGGTCTTAGATGATAAAACTGGACCATTACTGTTGAAATTCAGTTAATGCGAAGGCAAGTTTTAGCTTTTTGAAAAGGAAGTAAATAGCGTGACTCACATAGCCATTAGTTACAATGACTTTTCTGTCAGCTCGAATAAAATGCTCTTAATTATTCACATTTAAGGTAAGGGCATGACATCTGTTGTATTCCAATAATTAATAAAAAATAAAACTTTGGCTGAATCCTTCCGTAAAGCTGACGATATCTGACTTTCAATCGGACGACAAGTCTGTACTCTCCTATAACCCCTAGTTTTATAGAAGTTTATGAATAAGTCACAAAACCTTTTTCTCTCTGGAGGAAGGAGGAACTTAGCCCTTTGTGTGACAGGATGTAAACAAACGCAAGAAACAAGTTCAAAAGAGGAGTTTCAGAGGAAGCGCGGGTGTTACCTTTACAGCTTCACTGCATCATTAGTTTTTTCAACAAATCAAGTCAACTAGAGACAGTAGAGATATCGCCTTGGGACAAAGATTCATAGTAGCAGCGCCGTTTTTACACAAAGGTATTTAAACTCTTTTTGTTGTAGATAAAATTTACCACAGCGAACTTCAGAAAACTTGGACTTTTTAGACTCTTTTCGACGTCTTCGGTTTCAGTTCGCCGTAAAAATCAAACATCAAAATCGCTGTTTGTTGTACGAAATGTGAAAGTAAAACAACTTCCTCGATGAAATGTATAAATTTCTGCACTTTAGAAAGGCTTAGAAACATACATATAAACTGTGCATGGGTATTCGCATAAAATATTACAGTACTATTTTGCTGAATCATTCCAGAGGCTTTGAGACCTGATCACTGACCAAAGTTGTTTCAGGCAAGCTTTAATCGAGGCGGGCGTCCGACGACGGTTTCCTCTTAAATACATTGAAAACGGTTCTTAGGTTATCCAGAGTACTTTTTGATCTCTAGAAATGAATTTTAAGGGGGGTATAAAATTTGTATTTGTTCAGTCATCTTAGAGCAACCTGAGTCTTTTCGAAATTACAATTGCTTCTGCAGTATTAATTTCCGAAAATTTTAGATGCAATTTAAAGATTTACCGAAGGTGAGAATTTTTCTTATTCCTCTTTCCATCACATCTTCGAAACGGGAAATTAAAGGTTTCTTTTTTCTTCGAAAGATAGCTTAACTTGGGGAGGGAAATGTGAGAAATTAAACTCCAGAAAATCGTGGGGAATTTTTAAGACAAGCTTCGCTAAATTGTAAATGAATGTAACGGTCATCAAGAAATTTTTAACCACCCTCAAGCTACAAAAAATTCAAGACATTGTTTCCTCGAGTAGATATTTTGCAGAAAACAAAAATTAAAAGCGATTAAAAAATAAGCAGTTTATCATAATCAAGCGAATTTTAAACTTATTTATAAACCTTGAAAGGCCGTCCGATAATAACTTTGCTCCCTATAAAACCGGAGGAAAAAAATTTCGGGAAAATGATAGAAGAGAAAAAGAGAAAGCGCCTCTTAATATTTCAATGCTATGTCGCTATTTCAAATTACATACCATAAAATGGACCGCATTCGCAAGTTTCAATTTGTTTGTTTTGTTGTGCTTTTTTTTTTATCCCTCTTGGCTTGGCTCAGGAACAGCTAGAAAATTTGAAACTGTGAAGAAGCATTATTTTATTACCTAAAGGCTAAAAGTTTTAAAACTGATAAACACCCATGCAAACCACAGAAAAACAGCCTTTGTTACTTGCTAAAATGTTTTCGCATACAGGTAGGATGAATTCGCGCTCTCTTTCAAGAAAAAAAATGAGGGGAAATTTAAACTCTTTTAGCGGTGAATCGCGCAGCTAGCAAAGGCAAAATATCCACTAATATATATAACACTCAGCCTGGAAGGGCTGAGGCCCAAGGAAGTATGAGTGAAGTCTCGTGAACTACTGGTTTTTCTTGTCCTCACAGAGTGATTCTACTCAAGCAAAAGCGGAACCATGTTGCAGATATTGGTTTTGTTTCTCATTCCAGGCCTATTTGGTAATACGGGTAAATAATTTTCTTACATGTTATTTAAGATAATAAGAAGCGGGGTGGGGGGGGGGGGGGGGGG